GTTATTCATTTGTATTATCTCCAACGAAATTAATGGTATACTTGTAAATGGGATGATATTTTAACAAAGAAATTACAAATAACTTCATTAGAGCAGTATTAGTAAGAATCTGGACTGCCTAGCACTTTGGTTTTTTGTGAAATTGTAGTATTTAGAGCTGTTAATTGCTACCCCAAAAGTCTTCTGTTCCAGATCACCAGCCTTTGCTTCCTCCTAAATGTCTCAGTACTAAAAAAAAAAAAAAGTTGCTAAAAATTTTAACTGAAATTTCAAACATTTCAGTTCTACTTAAAATTCTTCATGTTAATATTCAAAGATTTTTTCTTCCCCTTTTAGTATTTATAACATTTGCCTTGTAAAAATAAATGTTTTCAGGAAGTTCAGATAGATCAAGTTTGAAATTTTTCCACTATTCTCCTAGGGAAGATTTTTTGATGCTTCTCTTTAACATAGAAGGAATTTCTTCTTTCATGAAAGGGTTTAATTTTTAAGCTAGAATCACTTACAAAGAATTGTCTTGATCTGAGTGATGATTTCTTTAATCTTTTGGGGGAAAAAAATAGTAGTTTGTGCCTGAAATTTCTAGAAGACAGGTCAACTACCTTTAAATGTAATCAATATGAATCTTATTATATTTGAAGACTTCCCAATTTGAATTTTCCTTAATTAATATTTAAGTCCACCATTGTGATGTGTTCTTGCATGCTAAAAATCCCCAAGAAAATAGCTTTCTTCCTTATATGTATATGCATTATTTGGGGGTTTGGATTGAAAGTCTCATTCATGGGGAAATAACTGAAAACATGACTAACCGGAATATTTAATTAAGTCCCATTTAATTAATGTATCTGCTTAAGTTACAAGCTCATTTCCTGAATCAGATATCTGTTTACTCTTTACGGTCATCTATATTTGCTACACTAGAATGGAAATTACATGTACAACATCAAGGCCTTATCTACATAATTTATTCCTTCCACTTTGCTAGAAAATACATTGGATTGAATTATCTCAGCCAAAAGTGAAATGGAGGAAGAGGTTTTTCTACGGAATCTCAGTGTATTCTCTTTTCCTTTCTTGGCTGGCTAAGGTGATTTATCCCCCTCCACTCCAAACGTCAGGGATGTTTTTGTGGTATCAGAGATGTTGATGTAAGCTTCAAGCCAATAGGCCATTTCTCCAATTTTTCCTATCCTGTGCCCTAATTCTAACAGCAGTCCTGGTTTTGCCTATTTCAATTGTTGGATTTTGCTTCAGAATATTGTATTCTCTGCAGCAATTTGAACAAGTTCATATTTCATGGGTTTTATTCAAATGCCATAAAATCAAAGATACTTTAGCCTTTCTCATTTTATATGGGCACTTATTCTTCAGTGTCTTAAATAAGGAATCCCATGTTTAAATAATGAATGCCAAAAGGAAGTGTATGTTTTCAACCATTTCTCTGTAATCCTACAGTACTTGCTACTAAGTAATTGATGTATTACTAAAGATAATGATCAAGAAGTCACATATCTCAGAAGGTGAAACTGGATGACTAGAAATTGATTTACAAATATTTAGAGCAATGTTAAAAGCTCTTTGATCAGATCTTGCATTTTTTTCTCCCTTTTAAACTCTTATTGGTTTCTCGGTTTTGGTTTGGAGCTTTTTGGTGTTTATTGTTTGGGCTGTGGCATTGGTTTTTGTTCGTTAGTTTAGTTTTTTAGGCTTTAAAAAGCTCAAGGACCTAAAGAAAATCCTTATATAGTTTGGAGTTTCTCTGAATTTTCTGACTTCAAACCAAATAAGTAGCCTGAAATTATAAATCAACCTAATTTTAGTGTCCTCTAACTGCATGCTGTACAGCCTGACCCAAATCTTAGGTGTATAACAATCTGAGCCAATGCATGCCAGCCTGATTTCATAAACAGTAACAGCAATGCTGGCAGCAAATTCAGTTTTGTACAGACAATGGAAATGCAGTGTTTGTTACCTTGTTAAAGACATTGTTTTGCATATGGAGATTTTGAAATACTAGGCATTTGTGTGTTAAAAACGTCTGTAGCTTTATCTCAGCACACTGGCTTATCATGTCAAAAATGTCTGTATAGCTTTAGGCAGGAGCCTTTTGAAAATCATTAATTCTTTTTTTCTTCCAGAGTGAACATAACAGCAGGTTATATAGAACTATCTACCTTCCACACATTGCCTTATGTAGTCAGGGCAATCCCCAGAGGTCAATGCTTCCCAATCAATAAATCAAACCCTGTTGATGAGGTGAAAGATCCATATTACATGTCAAGTGCACTTCATACTTTCACCTGATCTAGCCAGAGTTCAGGAATGGGATGTTACTGGTTTTCCAAGCAAAGCTCAGCTGTCAGGTGGTGGGAAACTATGCTATAGATAGTAATAAGTTCTTATCTATAATGGGCTGAATTATATATCTAGGCATGTCATCTAGGTCTTCATTGGGAAAAGGATCTTTCTTTCTGTCCCAGATCTTAAGAATGCCAGTTCACAGGACAAATATATGCTAAATCACAGGTGTTAATCTTTATAGTAGACTGGGTACTTCCATTCTCCCTTCATCATTTAGTTCACCAGCTTTTGCTTTGGCTGATGGCAGCACTACTTATCAGAAGGATATTCCTTATCAATTTATAACTGTTTTGTTTCACCAGGTGTTAAGGCTTGTTATAAAGGCCTGAGCCAGAGTTGACCTTTGTGTGAACTCTCATAAATTCTACATGACAATGTGGATGGTAATACCAGGTTTTTCCATCAGAAATTCCAGCACTATTGTCTATTTTACCCACAGCTTCTGAGCCATTCTACCATAAAATGAGCCATGAGTACCTGCCCTTGATGGAAGGTTATAGGAGAATATGAACAGTACATGAGAACGGAAAAGTGTCAATATTATATCTTTTCAATTCATCAGTATAAATTTCCCTCCTACTACAATGCTGTGTTTGACATAACAGTAGAGCATAATCACCAAGATGCTGGTTTACTCAATGTTAGTAGTTTCAGAGAACTGGTCATCCTTGGAGGATTACTAATGTATGTGTGTGGGAGTTGTAATTTCCTTGTATTGTTGCTAATGTATTAGTGTAAGAGAAATTCCTCGAGAAAGCCATCATTTTGGAGTTTCTAGGTATCAGGAAGGATATCTAATGGTAACATTTCTACACTTTCCTCTGTATTCCCTTTGCTTGAGACCATCAAAAATGTCATGACCTCTTTCAAGGCTCCAGAGTCAGCTTTTCTTCCAGTTGACCTGGACATATAAATGAATATCATTTGCATCATATATTTTGCCATCCACTTTTAAGATTGATTTATAAAATCCCCACCCTCTTCCATGGTTGCTGAGCTCTTATCATTTCTCCTCCACTTCTGCTTTCACCTTTTATTTCCATGGTTCTTGCTGCTGCTTTTTCTTCATCTTCATCCTCCCTTCCTTTCTCGTCCCTGGGAATTTCTCCATTAAGTTTGAACTCTCCTGTTCACCATAAAGAGTCTAGTTCTATGGTTGAACAATCCTTCAGCACCAAGAGATCTTTTTAACCTTCTTCCACCTCCTTTTGAAACCGCTTTTGCACTTACTTTTCCCCCAGAATAATTTTAGTTATTGTTTTCATATCATCATATCTTCCTTGGTCAAGTGACCAGTTGGAAAAAATACATTTACATCACAACGTTATGTTACCTTGAGGAGCAGAGCAAGGCAGTAATAGCACCTCTGAAGCCAGAATATACCTGTGCTAATTGTTGGCTTAGAGGTCCCTATATATTTTAATTAGTTGTCCTATTATTACCCTAGAGTGCTTGAATTTAAAATGAAAGATAATAGCTGCCTTATCTCTAAGGAAACTGGTCTTGATTTTATTAACTTACAGGACAGAAGAATAATTGGCACATATCATTGTCCAGAAATGTATTCAACAAAGGTATCTTTCATTGTTTTCTAATATTTTTATCCTCAGAGATTTAAAATTCAGGTCTTGACCGCTTGCGGTCATTAAAGATCCCATGGCACTTTTTTATATCGTGGTCATCTCAACCCCAAGCACCTGGTCAAATATCAATTTATGTAACTGTTCTGCTTACCCAACATTCACCACCACCACTCACCCACCCCATAGTTTCAATTGGCTAAACATTCTCCATTTCCTCGACTAAAATATAGTGTGTTGTTCTGCACTGTCAGTCACCACATTTCACCTCAGAGGTGATTGCACTTCACTGGGAAGTGAAGTGGCTCTTCTTTCTAATGCTTGTAAAGCGCTTTGGGATCCTTTTGAATGGGTGGTGCTGTTTACAATAAGTGTAATTCATTGTCATTCTATCTCAGGCGTCACTTAGTTACAAAAGCATGTTTAATTTAGAGTTGGGCGAACCTACTTGGTGGAAATAACCCTTCCAGCTCTCTCTAATCTGACAGGGAACCTTTTGTCAAAGGTTAATTTCTTTCTGGGTTTTTTTTTTTTTTGGTTGTTGTTTCTTTCTTTCTTTCCTTCAATTTCACATTCATTTGTACTTCTGGATTGGAACTTTGGGAGTTCCTTTATATTGGGAATTCAAAATACCATGAAAAATGTGGTTGTTCTTATGGTCAATTCACTGTTCCAGGTGCAGGAGGATCAAATTAGTGCTCAAGAAGCACCTGAACTTTGTGGTGTTTACCTGGCTATTATAACACTTGAAGGTTCGCCCATCACTAATATTTACAGTATTTTGCATTATTTCTTCTGAAAAATTCTTGGAATATTGAAAAATGCTGTGCTTCAACTCTGATATCAGTGTGGTATGTGCAGAAGAAGATGCTTTTCCCTAGAAGATAGTTTAGAATATTGCTAAATATTTTTTCTGCCCAGAGTCACTAATCTTACTACTTCCAAGATTGTCAGATATCTGCAGCAGTTTGCTGTATTAATAAAAAAAAAGGTAACTGAAGGAGTTATATCATGTTGCTAAAACATGTCTGTATCTAACACTAGTAGACTAAAGTAACTTTTCTTGCATGTGTGTTGCACAGAATGTATGCAACTATGTAAAGAACACTCAAATTTCTGATATCATTGCAGATCAAAAGGATAAAATGCTTAAAGTAGATTCATCCTAAGAAGATTTAAGATGTGAACAAATTTGTTGGCACTAAAATCTTTCCAAAAATAGTATCTTATAATGCAAAACATTGAGGTGAAAATAACCCAGGCTCTGGGCTAAGGGGTAAAACCATTACATTAGTGGATGTTATGTCAAACTTCCCCTGATGTCATTGGAGCTAAAACTCCTTTCCTTGACGTTATGTGAAACTATGGGAAATGTAGTTTCCAAACTACTTTGCACCCCTCTTCTATGATACTTGTCTCTTTTGTTTTTAGACATTCTTGGGATCAATGAATGCCAACTGCCTGTAATTAATTGATTTTATTTTTAGGATCCTGAAAGTCTCATGATTGGTCTGAGATCTTCTAATAAAAATGACAGCCCATTATGTCTTACCCCAAAAGTCAGAGAAGAATTTTCTAAATAGCTGCAGTCATTATCAGAAAATGTTTCAAGGTTCTCTTGAGAAGTTTTATAGATCTAGGTGAAAGCTTTTGCAAATGTTTGCTTTTGTTTGTATAATAAGAGCATAATACTATTTTTACCTTAGTTTTGTCTGATGCAGATGAGAACTGATTTGGTGGCCTTCCTGGCTAGAACACAGGGTTTCCACACCATGCTCAATATCATGCTACAGAGTTCTTAAAGGACTTTTTCTTGAGTTCCAGCTCAACTTTCCCATTTTTCCTGTGCTTTTGAAAGAAGAGGTTGATTTCGCTAACACACCAGGAAATTGAAAGATTTTATGTGGCTTTGATGGAAAACAAACAACAGTGGAAGATTTTGGTTGCTTCACATTGAGTCACTGTATTTAATTTAAAACTGAAATATAATGAAGCTAGAGGGGTGCAAACTCACATAGATGGGGGGGAAGAAATTAGAGAGAGGGAAATCTGGTATATCATCAATGCCAGCTTTTGTGCATCACTTGAACAGATGTAATCACTCAAATGATAGTGTTTCAGTAGGTAGAAAGTACTTTTGTGAGCATCTGACTTCCCAGTTCATTACACTGTGCAGTGGGTGCTACCAAAAAGCAATTGTTTTCAACCCAGTTCTCTCATAGTGCCATGGGAAATATTGCATGAGGGGGTTACTAATGGCAATTACAGTGCTGCTTTGGGCAGTGCAGGAAGGTACCTGCTCCTGCTGGCTGGTTTCTAAATATTACAGACAGACTAATACCATATTATTGTTTAGAAATCCACAAAAGTCGCAGTTTGTGCACTTTGATAATCATAGATATTCCGTACATGAAAAATGAATAATGTGGCTGAGCTATTCTTAAATGAGCTCTGGGACAGTTTTGTCTCTTATTTGGCCTGGAGTATATCTGCACTACCATCACTAAGTCAGTGTAATTAATTAGCTTCTCATTAGCTATTATTGCTTTTAAAGTATTTTTAATTAATTATACTCTGTAATCGCACAATTCAAAATACATTCTTAGAGGGAAGGCTGAGGAGAATTAGAAATTCCTAAATAACTTCATATTTATTTTCTATAAATGGATTATTTTTAATTTCTCTTACCATTCATCAGATCTACTCCAGATTGCCTAAGAGTAGAAATTAGTTCCTTATCTTTGAAATCCTCTTGATTGTCTAAGGGGTTTCTTTACAACATTGCATTAATATTTTTTCACTGAACTGCCTTGAAAAAAATACATAGTAGCTAAATCTACCCATTGAAACAACTGGTCAATGTACATTTGATGTGATTACATTCTGCCTATCTTTTCCCTTGCCTGAATTGCAGATTTCTGCTATTCCAGCATTGAGGTCTCCACAGCATGCACTGTATTTATGAAATTCATCAGCACTGGGGAATGGAGTTTCCACATAGGTACAGTTAGACTATGCTGGTGCCTTTCCCCAGGTAACCAGCAGTCCTGTTTGGACTATAGGGACCAAAAATGTGCATTCTCTGGCACAGCGCTCTGTGCCTCATAGAGGTAGAGAGACCTCCTGAATACTTGTTGTTTATGTCAGAGAAGAAAACCCAAAACAAAGCAGATCCTTTTGTATTTTATTTCTTTCTGAAACCCCCCAAAACTTCTATATTTGCCCCAGATATTCCATCCAGTGGTAGAATTCCACTTTGAGAAGATGAGCGTGTACTCCATTTCCAGGTATTGCTTGTGCTCGCTAAACATGGGGTCTAGGGAAATACCATTTATTGCATTATACTAGACTGGCCCTATTGCTCCTTGGTTTCCCAAAAGAATACAAGAAATATAATTGCAGCTATGCTTAAAGTTCTTTGGACAGGCTGCCAGCCAATGAATTAGTAATGTTAGATCTCGCCCTTATCAGCATGGCTTCACTTTGCAACCGTTTGGCCTTCCTTTCTTTCCTGCTAAATCTGTTTTCTCGGTTTTTTACAGATGGATCCACATGAAAATATTTTGTTGAGCACACTTGAAATTAAAAATGAGATGGCTGCCTCCGAGGCTGTGATGGGGCTTGGGGACCCTAGGAGCACTATGCTGGCGTATGACACTTCAAGCATCCAGTACCGGAAAGCTGGTTTACCCAGACACAGCTTCGGTCGCAATGCCCTGGAGCGACATGTGGCACAGAAGAAAAGTAGGCTACGGAGACGTGCATCTCAACTGAAAATCACCATTCCTGACTTGACTGATGTAAATGCCATAGATCGATGGTCTCGCATATTCTTCCCTGTTGTTTTTTCCTTCTTCAATATTGTCTATTGGCTTTACTATGTGAACTAAGAAACAAAGCCACACAGGAAGAAAGAACTGGATTTCTCTTCAAATCGGTTGTACAGCCAAAAGTGGGACTTAGAAAAATTCTATTCAGGACAAAAAGTTATTTTAAAACACCTTAGTTGCTGGCCCACTCTATGGTCTGGTTTTATAATGTTTTGGTTGTATCTGCTAAACCGTATATATGTTAAGTTGCAGTATGGACATATCCCCTTATCAAAATATAAGTGCATTTTGAGTGTGAAGGCAAATTGGATTTTGAAAGTCACTTCTTTCTCATTGTCCCTTACTGGGTTTTTTTCTCTCTTTTTTTTTTTTTTTTTTATGGTTATTTGAGTTTAGTGATACAAATTATAGAGCAGCATTTGAGAAACAGGTTTGAATTTCAACAGCAGTACCTGCTGTTCCCAGGGAAACTGCATATCTGAGGCATGCATCTACACTTAAGAGAGTCTACTAAAGTTGTTATCATGCTTATGAAACATATACACTTTACCTTTTAAATGTGTAAACTTGAAAACAAGTAGTGCCTATCATCTTTCCAAGGTGATGATGGTCAGAGGTTTCCCAACCATATTCAGGTATTTCCTTTTATTTATTGGAAGAACTAAACCTTTGACTGATAATATTAGGGTTGGGTGTTTGCACAGAAGCTGAAGCAAAAAGCACTAGTTTTGTTTGGATTTTAAAGAGAGAACATATGCTCACAGTCACAATGACAGTGGTTGTGATCAATAGAGGAATGTAGCAACGGTATGAAAATGCATCAGTGCTGAATGGGTAGATATGCTGCTGGGTTGTGTGGGGGAAAGGGAATCATCTGTCCAAAGTGCCAAAACTGGTTGCCCAAATAGTAATTCTGTAGATGGCTGAAGGAAACCAGTGATGCCCTGCCTTTCTCTAGGGTAGGGAGAGCTAAAGAGCAACTACAGAGTACGTACAGGGGCAAAGGGAGGGAAGGCTACATATATGTAAAAGTGTGTGTGTGCGTGTGTCTGTGTATATATATACATATATATATATGTGTGTGTATGTATATACACTGTACAAATGAATGTTGTCAGTTGTAGTATACACCTTGGTCTGAACTAGTTGTGTGGAGTTGTGTGATTCCTTCCAAGTGTGCAATCTTTCCCGCGTTATGCTGCTGCTGTTGGTTAAAGGGGTTGTACCTCTTTCAGCAGTAAAGATCTGAGCATGTGTATTTCCATACAAGAAGTACTGACAGGGTATTTTCTCAGTCTGGATTAGGCAATACCATTTCACTTTTTGTTTTCCTTAGCACTGTTTTAAAGGGGAAGAAAAGTAGTTAGCAATCACTTTAAGAGCTTAATTACACTCTTGAATGCTTCCATCTTAGGGTGATTTACATTGGAAAACTAGCAAATTTCAGTTTTTCTTTAGGAAACTTTTTGAAATAAAAGACTGGGGTTTTTTTCATTCCATAGAGCTTTACTTTTACAGACAAAATAGAATAGACAAAAAAAATAATTGTATAGACAGAGCTTGTAGTTTATTCCACTGTGGAACTTTTTCTGCAATGAAAAAAGCAATCACAGGAACTGTATAAAAAATATAAATTCTTGATGGCTTTTATTAAATCAGATCCCCAATACTGTTTGACACACAATATTTCAAGAAGCAAAAGCCACATCTGTTGCATCCTCTACTACCTCTCATCTGTGTACAAATTTTTTGAAAGAAACTAGATAGTAAAAGGTTTTTTTCAAAATACTAAGAAAAAAGTTCTTGAGAATATTTTTCATAAAATATTTTATTTTAATTTTTCTTACTTTAAAAGAACAATTTTCTTACAAGTTTCTGTGGGATTTTTTTTCCCCATTTGGCAGTGAATGACAGTGATAAGAGGAGAATAGTTCTGGGAACTAATAGGCCAATTTTCTGACTTTGTTTTGAGCATGTCATATGCTTATTTCTGTTTCAAAAGGGAAAGGATACTTTCTGAGCCTGCGATGGGATTTGCCAGACATACATCCTACCTGCCAGAAAGTTGTGTGTATGTTCACATACTGCCTTCAGGTTCAGACTGCAGTCTGTAGTGACAGGCTTTCATCATGTGATTGCCTTTCCAAGTCAAAATTGTGTGTTTTGTTCACATGCTTAATTTCCAACTGCATTTCATGCATAACGCAATAATCTTTGTAGATGCACTTGGAATTTCAACTGATAGGTGTGAATCACGTTGGAATTTTTTCCCAATTCTAAGAAATGGAGCCACATCAAAATCCACTATTTCTCTTCAAAGTCTGTTCTTGGAAAATGGTATTAATTATCCTAAATAAAAGCAGTCTTGTAGTATTCTTCCATACAAGCTTTTCCTTCATTTCAGAAATTGCTGCCAACTCCTTTTTTATTTCTCAGAAGAAGAGTGTGACTGCAGGGAGCTCACAGCCTGTCTGTGGTTGATACACATCAAATATAAAACCTTACAGGGAATATGTTGATTCTCTGCATTGGTTAACTGCTTCAGCTACTATGAAAACCACAGAGATCGAATCCTGGAGCTGCACATTCACTTTTCTGAAGTTACAGTACAAGCCATAATACTCTCTGATGTTTCTAATCAGAGACTGAAAGAAAAATGTTTGGTTTCTGCTCAGGTGTCACTAGGAAAGATATATTATCTGGGGGGAAGGAGCACTTTCACTTTTACTATGTCCTTCTGGTTATTAATGTGATGTATAAAATTAGTGGAAGAGAAGGATTCTATCATTTTGTACTAAGGCTTAACACTGTGATATAACAAGATGGGGGTGAGAAAGACTGGTGAGGCACTGTCAAGGGAAAAGTATAACTCGAGCCCAAGGTGAGCACTTACTCCTCTTCTGAGATACTTGAGTGAAAGTGAGAAATTATGCCAATGTGCATGAGCTATGGGGTTTGCTACATGTGCTACCCTCCAGGTAAACTAGAATAAATTTACTTTTACTTTAGAATTGACAGAAAATGGATATTCTAGATCTTTTTAATCGTGTTAATTGTTGTTAGTTTCAATAAACAAAATATCAAAGTTAATAATTTAGATAAACCTTGTAATATAATCAGAGTTGCACATTTTATTGTTCTATTAGACATAATAGCCAGCAATTAAGGTGTTTTTCATCTTTGTGAAATTCATGGGAAAATTATGACTATAACATGGCACAGTTTTAATGAAATCTTTGAGAACAATCTGTAAATATATACTGTACATGACTGCTAGTAAGTATGATACACATTTTCAGAACTGAAAATTCATGCAACATATTTCTGTGTTTGCATAAGGAATGTTATGTTTCTATCCTATCGCAGTTCAATGACTGGGAAGAAAGACTCAAGCAATGACATTGTGACCATTTCTTTTCTCATTCCCAGGGGAGGAAAACAGAGTCTTAGATAACAGCATGTCACAGGGTTCTTCAGAGGGTTCTTACATTCTAATAACATGGACATAAAATCTGTAAGGTACAAAAGCACAATGCATAGAGAAAATGAGTGGTGGTGGTTTTACACCTGGGGAAAATATCCTATTTATTTCAGAAAAATATGCATAAAAATTAAACCTCAATTAGTTTTCACTATGATTATTAGACTGTGTTCTAATTCTATTCTATAACACAGTGCTAAACATAAGTGAACGGATGTTAAACATTACCCAACTATATGTGCATATGGACATCTTCCTAAATGTTTGTATGGACATATGTGTGTATATATACACATACTGAGTATATATATGCACACACATTCATATGTTGGTGTGTTAAAGGAATAAGCTAATAATACTTTTGTTTCTACCATCGACCAGTGTATTAATATATTTTTGAGAAAAAAAAAAAGATTAATGTACTTAAAAAAACCAAACAACTTACTATACAGGGTAACTGGGCATTTCTATATCAGCAGATCAATGCTTATAATTCGTATGGAGCATTGCACCGTTTGACATGATGATAGTACTGTACCTCCTAGCATCTGGAATTAGACTAGTCCTCACATTGCTTGCCTATTTCTTCTCTCTCTTTTTATAACAGCATTGTCCACTAGTAAGTTTTCAAAACCAACAAATTCCTTAGGGGTCCAAGAAAAAAAAAAAAGGCAAAAATAGTAACTATTTCTAGAAAATAATCTAGGGTGGGATGGCCAGGGTACAATACTATATCAGTAGTGATCATAACATTTTGCTATGTGTACATAGAACATACAATGTGAGCAACCATAACTTAAGCTGAACGTGTGTAAATATTATCAGATTTCTTAAACATTTTTAACTTCTAATTTGTACTTTATGGTAAGGCAAAAAGCTAATTCTACTTATGGTTTAGGTTAATGTGTCCTAAAATTATGTAAATAATTAAATAAGCTGTAAATTAGCAGTCGATAGATACAGTATTTGTTTAGTGACTTTTTTTTACTAAGTACAATAATTGCAGTGCTCTAGCAGAGTAATTTAAACACCCTTTTGCATAAACAGATTTGGATTCCAGATATAAAATAGTACAGAAAGTGCTGTAGTGTAAAGTAGCCATTGTGGCAATGTTCCTGCTAGCACAATTGATTCTTTTGTATGATTAAAATGTTCAGGCACCAGAAGACAGTAGCTTGGCACTCAGTACTCAGATTAGCAAAACCAAACAGGGCCTGGTTTTCACTTACAATAAGGCACCTTTATGTTGCTCCAGTGAGTGGAGAGGTGAAGGCATCCAGGGTAAGTGAGAATTCAGCTGTTGGTGATTTCATTACAGAAGCCTGCATACTGCGTCTGTCTGTTTCTGAAATCTCTATCTTATGGTAACTAATAGTAGACTTCTGTTTTTCTTTTTTTCTTTTTTTTTAAAAAAGGATGTTTGACTGTCGTTAGCTAGCATAGTCCCCCCAAAGCCAAAGAATCTTCACTCCAGAAATTGTTTAAAAGGGAAATCTAATAAGTCACTGCTTAACACCAAAGGTAAAGCTTAATAAACTGCACTAGGAACTTTGTCTAAATTTTTAAGAAGCAAATGGAATGCTGTTGATCAAAAAGACTGCCCTATTCTACCTTGTAAACATAGTAATAATTTAAATATCCATTATATAAAATTGAAATAGATCATCTCTACAAGAATATGCAACACTAACATTTCATAAATATAAAATTATTTTCTTTGTAAGTGCTTTGACAAAAATGAAACTTAAATAATGAAAAATCTCACCTCTACTTTCATACTAAGGGTTGTATTTTTTTAATGTTTTTCAGACATGAGGTCATCTATTCCAATTTGATAGCATTTTGTATGTTTTCACTGTTCCTGTCGTGTGACAGATACTCACCAGGCTGTATCGTTCATGGTCTGTCCTGTTACTTTCAGTTGAAGACAAAAAGAACATTTGAAACATGATTAATTCTGACAAACTGCCTATGATTTGACTTCTATCACGTTTTTATTTGCATGGGTGTTTAAATGGTTCTGTTAGTACTGTCTTTGCACAGTTCTGATTTCTCTTTTTTTTTTTTTACTTAGTACTATTTATTTCATAATGTAGTAATCATCGGCCTTACTAATGACCTTGTAGCCTTTCTTATATGCACATAATGCACATTTTCCAATGGCTAGAAAATGCAAAATACTAGTGGATATCATTGCATCAGATCTT